CTGTACCCCAGTTCTGTATACACAAATAAATAATAAATCTTTAAAAAAAAAAAATCCTCTGAGTAATTTCATAAAGTATCCATATTTCATAAAAGGGCAAGTAGATAGAGAAGTATTTCATTTTACTCGCGCTAAAAAATTGATGTCAAGGCATATACCGCCAATTTTAATTTTTCTGACTCTTTCAGTTAGAATAACTGCCCCCAAACAAAGTCATATAATCTCTATCCATGGTGAAGTGTTTTCGTTTTTTTTTTTTAAGATAGATTTATTTATACATACAGAACTGGGGTAGATGCCAATGGTGCAGGAGCAGTGAGAATATTCACCAGAGACAGAGTGGGGAGCAGAGCAGGCAGATCAACGAAGTACACTGCTGAGGGGAACAGTGGGAAGGTCAGGAGAGGTCTATCCCCTCATGTGGGTCACCTCCGGGGCTGGGTATTGAACTCATACTGAAGCTGCTGAGGCTCACTTGCAGTGCTGAGTCCTAACCTGTTTGATCAGGAAAGAGGGCCCTGTTTTTTTGTTGTTTTTTTTTTTTTAAATATCTTTTCTCTCTATAGGCATGCAGGCTATATGCTACAAAACATTTAAGAGTTTTATTGAGAGCTAATGTTGAATTCTTCAATAATTGGGGAATTGAATTACTAGTGACTCAGCTACATGATAAAAACAAAACAATTTCTTCTGAAGCTCTTGATATCCTCGATGAAGCATGTGAAGACAAGGTGTGACGTTATTTTATAATCCCTTACTTATACATAAACTTTACTCAATTTTAATAGCAGGTTATATAAAATCAGAATGCATATGACCTAGAAATTTTGGGAATAAAGAGTTTGCTATCTTTCTGCAGTTGTTAATTTGTTTTATCATTTCTTGTAGGCTAATCTTCATGCTCTTATTCAGATGAAGCCAGCTTTATCCCATCTTGGTGACAAGGGTTTACTTCTCCTTTTGAGGTAAGTTTTAAGTAAATTTTTGTTAGTTATTTCTTTGGTTGTATTCTTTGGCAGTGTATTTTAAAACTGGATTCAAATATGAAAACACTCTAAATTATTTACCTATTAGCTTCTGAAAGAGGAATACTTAGAATCTTAGACATCTGTTACTACTAAAATTCTTTTAAGTTCTGTTTTCTCTTTCCGCATGTTTTTCATGAGATTTTCTGCACTGTGAATTTATGTGGGCTTTATGTTTATTTTTTTAATTGCAGAAACATTGGTTTATAATGCTATATATAATTTAGGGATACAGAATCAGAACCTTCAAGTATATGTTACTACACTACAACAAAGAGATTGTGCAAATTTATTTGTAATTGAGATTACAATAAATAATAATTGACCTTTTAGTTTTAGGGAAAAGCTGGTTCTAAAATCTTTTAGATTCTTAAACATATTTTTTGTTTGAGCAAATTTAGCTCCTCAAATTAAACATTTTTTATCAGACTCTAAATGTTAAATTGCTGCTTGTTTTCATTTACAGATTTCTCTCCATTCCAAAAGGATTTTCCTATCTAAATGAAAGGGGTTATGTAGCAAAACAATTGGAAAAATGGCACAAGGTAATGTCTTAGTGAATGAGGTTCAATTTATTTGTTTTTGTCTTGGGAAATACATTTGTAAACTTAAAAGATTTTTTAGAATATCAGTGTTTTAGAACTAACATGGTTAATATTAATATAGTCATATGAAGTTGTCTAAAATTCTGTATAAGTCCATCTTAGAAATTACAGTTTGGTTACAGACTAACCAAGTAAAGGGTCAGGAAAAATGACAGAATTTCCAAGCTGACTACAGAAGCATATAGCAGGGAGAAGCATATAGCAGGGAGAGGGCAACAAAGGTTGAAACAGGGAAGAAAGAGGCCAAAGGAATGGGGTGGGGAGTTACAGGTGCTGTGATGGTAGAAAGACAATGGGGATTGCACCTGCAGGGAGAAGTCAAATAATACAAAAATCGATAATGATCTAAGAGCATATATTTTAAAATTATGATTATAGCTTATTCTTTATTTTCTGTGCATTCTTTTAATATTTGCTTTCAACTTAATAACATCTGCTGATATAATTTATCAACCCTACTTACCACCATTTCTTTCATTCTTGGATTTCTTATACAGTCTACAACTATCTGAGCCCTTTTTTTTTTTCTAAATTTTTTTTTTTTAAGATTTATTTATTTATTCATACAGAACTGGGGTATAGGCCAGAAATGCGGAGGGTGAGAGGATTCACCAGAGTCAGAGTGGGGTGCAGAACAGGCAGATCGACGAAGTACACTGCTGAGGGGAGCAGCGGGCAGGTCAGGAGAGGTCTGCCACGCCATGTGGTCTCCTCCGGGGGCAGGCGGGAATCGAACTCATGCGGAAGTGGCTTAAGCTTCTTTGTGCATTGCTTTAACCCGCTGTGCCACCAGGGAGGGCCCTATCTGAGCCCTTTTAAGCTCAAACTAAAATAACTTTTTTAAAATAAGGTAGTTTGAAAAACAGTTCTATGAAGCAGATAATGTAATCTAATTATATTTATTTTAGGATGCAACTTCTTTCTGTGGTATATAATAGGGAAACTTTGGAAGAAGGGGATAATTTGATGGTAAATGATAACTTTCTAGAGGGCTATTACTGTAATTTCATTTTGTTTCAAACATTATAAATTGTTAGATCATCTTAGAAACTTATGGTATACTCAGTCCTAATATAAATGATCTATAATTTATGGTATACTCAGTCCTAATATAAATGATCCCATAATTTTAGATCCTTATTGTTATTGTTTATACTGAACCATGTTTCATAAGGTATTAATTTTTTGTAAAGTACTTTATAATGCATACAATTTCAGGTATGAAGTCATTGAATAATTCATGAATTGGAGGACTGAGAATCCTAAAAGGTGATACAGTTCTTAAATAGAAGGTGTATTTAAATTACCTTAGTAAAATCGATCACCTTGTTATACAAATTACAATATTAGGAAATAACTGTCCTATTTATTTACTGTTCTAATTACTATTCTCCTGTTTACTGTTTGCCTATTTATTTACTAATTACTATTCTCCTGTTTACTGTTTGCCTATTTATTTACTATTCTATTTACCATTATTACTATTTATTCCTATAAATAGAACTGTTATAGAAAGACATGTTCCAGGCATAAAGTAACATAGAGGAAGGATTCAATGATTCCACCTTGGGGATTAGCAATAGAAATGTTAGAATGTTAGATAGGTTTAGTAAAGGATGTGATATTTGAAGTGATCTTGAGGAGTATCCAAGGATATGAAAGAAGGATATTCAAGGAAGAGACAGCAGAATAATAAATCTATAAAATACGAAAACTTCACAGATTTGTGAAGAAAGCTATATCCCACTGTGATTAAAGATAAGGTAAATAGACAGTGGCAAAATAAGTCTGGAATGGCAGGTTAGCTGTGGAAGACTTTTAAAGCCACTATATCATAACTGAGTTCATTTTATAGGATGGGGGACAGTTCCAGACTTTGAAGAACAGTCATAGTCAGACTGTTTTAAAAACACGGTAGGTTGTAGTGTATAAGTTTGAATGTCATAGTTAAACCTAGTGACATTTAAACAGTATAAAAGCAAGTCGTGACAACAGCACGAACATAAGTGATGATGAGGTTGGATAGGCAAGGATGCACTTTCTGGGCATTTTAAAAATAGATGGACAGGATATGTGGACATATTGGACATAATGAGTGAGAACTCCAAGTTCACTCTGTAGGGTTTCTAACTTGAGTGACTATGTATATCATGGATCACCATAAAGATATTGTGACTACCAAAAGTGGTTTGCAGGATGAGGATAATGAACTTGTATGTGTTGATTTGGTGTTGCCTGCGGGAAGACCAGAAAATATTTGAAAATGTGGGTCTAGACCTCAGATAGTGAATGTGACGATTGGGGAGTTATCAGTGAATAATAGTGAAAATGTGAACATGAGAGAAGAATGGGAATTGCTTCCCAGAGAGTCTGTGGTTTAATGGTAAGGGATGGTGGTAAAGGGAGGGTGGTGGTAAGGAAGAGCAGGAACACTGTAAAAAATGATCAGAGAAAGATGTCACTAAAGAATAATTCAAGGAGATACTAATTAGGTGAACACCAAAAAATCCACTGTTCAATTAACCGGTGAATTTTGTGGGAGCAATTTGTTAGGAAGTAAATGGGAGGTTTAAAAATAGCCCACTTTCAAATTAATAAGAGGAAAGGAAGGGAACTAATTTATTGATTGCCAATCTCTAAACTTAGTGCTTTTCAGGTATTAACTCATTTAATCCTCACAACAACCCTTTCAAATATATTATGTCTACTTTGTGAGTGACAATATAGAGGGTAACAGAAACAAATTAACTCATCCTAGGTCACCGAATTTGAAAAATAATCAAGAACAGGTCTTTTTTCACTCTGAAACTCATGCTTTCCCCACTATTTTCTATTTCTTGCCAATAGCTTGCAGCCTGCCACGGTAAAATAATACTGTATTTTTCAAAGTAATATAACATCCAGACTAGTATGTTAAAATTTCACTCAGTCATTTAAATCTCCTTTTCCTCAGTCCAGGCATGATAGACTTAGAAATCTACAGTGGACAGAGTACAGAGTTAATTTCATGATTCTTTGGTGCTCATCATCTCCCCATTTAACTTCAAGTTTTGAACCTTTCCAGGTTTTGAGCATGAGGGTAAAGGAAGGGGTAAAGAATCTTTTGGGGTCTTTTTTAGTTGATACAATTGTTACATGGGATTGTTAGCTGAGTAGTGCAGATTTCATATGCTGCTTCTTTTACTTTGGGTTACTCTGATGAATCCCTCAAAGACATCACAATTAAGGATTTCTTGTTTGCAGGTCTTTTGACAAGTGCAAAGATGCCTTAGACTGCTTACTTTTATGCCTCTGAGTAGTTAATTATCACCCCTCAACTGTATCATGTAGGCACAATCCTCAGTATGACATACATCAGAAATTCACTCTATTTCATAACTATATTCACTCTATTTTCATAACTATAAGCCATATACCTTAATTTTGCTAGTATTTCCAAATTAATGCCATTGATCAAATGAATAACTGGACAATACCACATGAATGTAACTACACCTGCATTAAGCTAACAATACCTGTTTAAGTTAGATTTATGTGCTGAGATGTTCATGTATAAAGTGTGGTGGTTGTTGTGGTTGTAATAATTATACACTGATATTATTAAAATTTCACATTGCTATTGCAAAATAAGTAGGAAGTAAAGGAAAAGTAAAGTTTTTAGAATCTAAATGGGGGCTTAAGGTAACCCACCAAATTCAAGTAATCTAAAAAGAAAAATAAGTCTCCTTGAACCTTTATTCTGTCTTTTCTGAAGGTTATGTATACTATTTCTCTTATGCATTCAAATATGATCTGTACATTTGTAAGTACATAGTCATTATTTTAAATTACAAATTAATTATAATTACAAGTCTAAATAAAAAGGTATTATTTACCTCAGAGTTGTACATTTATATCTACTTCATTTTCTTTAATGTACTACTTAGTATATTATATACATGCACATTAGTTTTTATAATTACTTCAGCTTTTCATTGTATTTCCAATATTTTGCTTTTGTAAATAATATGTGCTGTACAGTCTGGAAATTTTTTGAAAATATATCTAATTTGATAAATTTCTAAGAGTATAATTTAGTCTAAAAGTACATATGCTTTAAACTTAAATAAGTAAATATTTGGTTAAAAACTGCCTAGTTGTTTTACAGAGGGTCCTACCACTTCTTTCTAAGCAATGTCAGGCATAGATCTTTTATATTAAAGATGGCATTGCGGTTGATTCTCAATGTAAAGAATTTAACTAGAATTTTTCCAAGTCTTAGTTAGAAGTACTTTTCTAATTTTGGTTACATCATTGGAAAGTCAGGATTTTTTTCTAGTAGAAGTTATAAAAAGGCTACAACTCAATTTCCTTAAAAAATTTCTAGCAAATATCTTTGGGGTTTAATATTTGAGGCTAGGGTTTTGTTTGTTTTTGTTTTTTTTCTTTTCTCATTTTAGTGGGTAGGGGTTTAAATGAAATGCAAAGTCATTGTATGAACTCCAAAAATAATATTTAAAAATGAAGGGAAAAGTGTAATCAGGAAGCTTTTGTGTATGCTAGAACATTTGCATTAATAATACCTGTCTCCACCCTTTTCAAAAATTTCAAAAACTCATGTTAATTTTTCTCACATTCTTCCAAGTTTTGCTAGGTACCCAACATGTTATTATAAATTTAGTATATTATTATGGTGCTCTGTATAACCAAATCAATATTGCCTTCTAGGAATATAATGCAAAATATGTCGACTTGATTGAAGAACAACTTAATGAAGCCCTTACTACTTACCGGAAGCCAATTGATGGTGATAACTATGTTCGTAGGAGTAACCAAAGGTACAGTCCACCTAGTGGAATAATTGCTAAATCTCAAATATAAAATTTAAAGCAACTCTTTTTTTTTTTTTTTTTTAATTTTGAGTATTCAGGTATTCTCTCTTAAACTGACATTGGTAAAATCTTAAAACATAGCATTGATTGCTCAAAAATTCTAGTGTCATTCATAGAATGCTTAATACCCTTACTGATAGAAATTCAGGTATACTCCATGCTTTTACCTGTCCCAGTCTGTTTTTCTAGTCTCAGTTCTCTTAACCACTATCTGAAACCAGCTAAACTATTATTTTTCCAGAAAAGCCTTTATGCCTTTCCAATTCCATATTTTGATTTGGAAGCTATGAGAGTAGATGTAATTCAGTTTATCTAGCACTTTATTACTAGTCATTGTTTTAGTATATTAATAATGAGCCAACAACTATATCAATCATCTTTATTATACTAGATTACAGCGTCCTCATGTCTACCTGCCTGTACACCTTTATGGACAACTTGTTCACCACAAAACAGGCTGTCATTTGTTGGAAGTTCAGGTAAAAACATAATTTGCTTATTTACTTTTTTAAGATTTACTTATTTATACATACAGAATTGGGGTACAGACCAGAGGTGCAGGGGCAATGAGAAGATTCACCATAGTCAGAGTGGGCAGCAGAACAGGCACATTAACAAAGATCACTGCTGAGGAGAGCAGCGGGCTGGTTAGGAGAGGTCTGCTGCACCATGCTGGTCACCTCCAAAGTGGGGATCGAACTTACACTACAGCAGCTGCAGCCAGCTTTGCAGTGCTGTACTTTAACCCGCTGCATCACCGTGGAGGCAGAGGCACAATTTGCTCATTTTAAATAGCTGCAATAGTAAGGGAAAAAAAATCTTAATATTGCTAAGCTGTCATCCTTGCAAAATTTTCTCAAAAGCTTGAAGTCACTAGCATAATTTCTTTAAAGGTATATCCATCGCCCTTAGAAATATTATGGGTTGCATTTATTTCTATTGACTATGTGTCACCTTTTGTATAGCTGATGTGTTAACCCAGTGAAGATCTGAGTTCTTTCTTTTATTGTTTTTCTTAGTGAAAACAACAATGAGAGACCAAGTTTCTTCATTCCTCTTGTTAGGAAATTAAACTGAATCTGATACAGATCCTTTATCTTTAATGAGCAACAAACTGAGAGTATAAACTGCTGCTTGTTAGTGCCTCACTATTCTCATAAACTGCATGGGATGTAGGAGGCTTAAGTAAGCAATTGTCTCTTGACTATAGTATGTATGTAAAACTTATGATTGAATCTGTCTTGCAGTTAGGTGTTTTCAATAAACACAACCTCTTCTTAATTTAGAAATTTGTAGAAGTATTTGTATGTTTAAACAGTTGTAATCTAATTCTTTAGTTCTTTGTCATATAAATGCTCATTTCATAAGCAAATGTTGCTTCGATAATCTAGTTTCATATATTTTTATATGTTGTATATGAAAGTTAATGAGTCACATATTTTTAATTTGCTGAAAATGTAAATGACTTACTCAGTGTCATTACATATATATATATATATACACACATATGTACAGAATCTAGGATAAGCTTAGAATTTTCTATTAAAAATAATAGTTATAGCTAACAATTTTTGTAATATTAGGTACTATTTTATTAAGCACTTATATGCCATAATTAATTTATTCATCAAATCTTATGAGGACGCACACATCCTACTATTATCCCTATTTTAGAGATTAGGCACTCAAGGTAAGAAATGATTAAATAGCTTGCTCAAGGTCACATAGTTACTAAGTGCTGATATTGTAGAGTTATTAACCTTGCTCCTATGTTTTAAGGCTGCTGCTTAAGAAATTTTATATAAAATTATTTCAGAATTTTGAATATGCAGAAATTACTAAATGTAAACCTAAAATACATTTTAAAATGCAATAAGAAAATAAGCTAAGAATATGTTATTACTTATATATTTTTTTCTCTTCAGAATGTTATTACAGAACTCTGTCACAATGTTCGTGCACCAGATTTGGATAAATGGGAAGAAATTAAAAAACTGAAAGCATCTCTTTGGGCCTTGGTTTGTAATAAACACTTCTAAAAGCTCTTTGTTGTTTTTTCTGATTTCCCTGTTAACATTAAATAAATAAGATTCTTTGAACTTTTTCTTAGGTTAATATTATAAGAGCAAGATTGTTCCTATCCCCTTAAATACTATTTTTATGCTGAGAAATAGGTGTATAAACTACTAGTATTCTTGCTAAGACAAGTAGAACACTAATTTCTAATATCCCTTGTTTGAGGTACCTTTCACAATTTTTTTATTCTTAAATTCTTTGGTTTAGGGTATCTTTCTAAATGTCTTAAAAGAATTACTCTTTCAGATATATGTGATATAAGTGCTTTCTTTTCTTTCAGGGAAATATTGGTTCATCAAATTGGGGTCTAAATTTGCTTCAGGAAGAAAATGTAATTCCAGATATACTAAAACTTGCAAAACAGTGTGAGGTTCTTTCCGTCAGAGGGTATGTCATTTAACTCAGAAATCTTTCTGATTAATATAGTGTTCAAAAGTATGTTGTGATTTACTGAAAACCATAATGATAAAATGTTTTTAAATGTATTAAGTTAAATATCTTAAGGAGTTTCTTACTTGCTATGATACAATTTTTAACATTATAATATTGAAGTTATCCGAACAAATGTTATAGTGAAAGTGTATATGTCCAAACATTATAGTAGTCCAATAATGGAAATACTCCAAATTTATCACAGAAAAGTTTATACACAGACACACATACATTTCCCCTAAGAAAAATTATTTCAGTGTAAGTAACTTTTATTAGGAAACTTCTCGCATTATTTGTTGCTTCTCATTTGTTCCTAACTGCTTTTTAAAATATCTTTGCACAAATTTGTCATAAGTTTTAAACAAAATTCATATGGTAGATTAATATGCACAAGTTTTAAGAAACCTCTGCTTGGAGTTATAAACTATGTCATTAAAACATCTTTTATGTGCAGGACCTGTGTATATGTGCTTGGACTGATATCCAAAACTAAACAAGGCTGTGATATTCTCAAGTGTCACAGCTGGGATGCTGTGAGGCACAGTCGCAAGCACCGATGGCCAGTGGTTCCAGATGATGCAGAACAGCTCTGTAGCGAACTCTCATCTATCCCAAGCACTCTAAGTTTGAACTCAGAGTCAACCAGCTCTAGACATAATAGTGAAAGTGAATCTGCACCATCCAGTGAGTATCATGACAGACTCATATGCCAAGATTAGCATTTGTATTTATAGTATCAAAATTTAAATGTGTTTGTTATATTCCTAATTTACTTTTTTAAAGATTATCATTGCATAGTTGTAGTCTCCTGGAGAATGTGTATCTCTTCACCACAGGGTATAGCCACCAACCTGCTTAGTTCTCTATTCCTGATTTCTAAGTAGCCTTTGGAAAATTCTACTGATGAAGTTATATAAGAAGTCAGGTGCCAGAATGATACTTGTTTTTACTTGTCAGAAAAGACAAATTTAATAAGTAGATTATATTTATTTGCCCTCTTTCTTCAGTTACATAGAAACTTATTTTTCTAATAAAGATGATTGAACCAGAATATAGATATCCTTTTAGCTTGAAGCACTAATTTTTATTTATTTTATTTTTTTAATTTATTACAAAGTTTATTTTTACATCATTTTGCACATTTTTGTTTTTCCATCTCGATTGTAATCCCCGCGGATTTCCCATCACCAAATCACCCCTGTGCCACCACCATAGTCCCGTGCATTTCCCTCCCTTTCTTCCC